ATTAGTAGGGGGAGCGTACTTCGCATTTTGCACCGTTACAAATTTCATCCGTACCATGTTAGTCTTCACCAAGAATTGCATGGGAACGACTTCATGAATCGCGTTGAGTTTTGTCAACCGATTTTTGAAAACCGATATTCATCAAAAAAAGGTGATGCTGTCTGTTTGGTGGGATTTCAAGGGAATCGCTTTTTTTTTAGCTTCCACCGAACAATACCACGATCAATTCTGAAGTGTACTGTCATCAACTGGACAAATTGAATGATTCACTAAAACAGAAAGGGCCAGAATTGATCAATAGAAAAGGTATAGAGTTCCACCAAGATAATGCGAGACCTCATACAAGTTTGGTAACTCGACAAAAACTTTTACAGCTACCACACCCACCATATTCGCCAGATCTGGCACCCTCGGATTATTACTTGTTCCGGTCTCTACAAAATTTTTTAGACGACAAAACCTTTACTTCAAATGAGGACGTTAAAAATCACTTGGATCAGTTTTTTGCCAGCAAAAATCAGAAGTTTTATGAGCGTGGAATCATGCTACTGCCAGAAAGATGGCAAAAGATATTGGACCAAAATGGAGAATATATAATTCAATAAAATATTTATACACTATAAGAAAATCGTCTTTCATTTTCACCAAAAAAAAACCAAATTACTTTCCGAACAACCCAATACATAAGCATAGCAAAACTAAATATATTTTCTTGGATTTTGACAAAAAATTTTGTTGCATTTAAATAAAGTTCTAGTTTTTATAACGCAAACGTTCAACATGTATCTTTTCTCAACTGCGCGGCACCAATACCTCTCGTCCGCGGCCGGGTAAATATCCCTTTTCCATCCTACATTACTTTCAAAAATTCCTTTTTCTCGTTTCAAAATGCACAAAATTCATAAAAGTTATACTATGTATAACGGTGGTACAACAATGTCGTCTGGGTAAATAAAGCTCCTTGCAAACCAGATAATCAACTGTTTGTTAAACATTGAAACGTTGCAGCAGCATCTTTCAAACCAAAAGGATTTTTTAACCTTCGCTTCAAAATTCTGCTAAAAGTCACATTTTCCTGCGGCACGGAACGTATTAAACAAGTACTTTATCAATTAGCACTTTCTAATTGGTCACCAAAGCGAACCCATCCCTTATTATCTGATCATATCGTTCAACTGTTAGTTATCAATGGCAAATCATTAATACTTATTACCTTGCAAGTCGGGTTGTTTCAGTACAATCCAAAGTCGTGAGTTGTATTGGCGAAATGGAAGGATACAATATATCAGTTTATAGTCATTCTTGTACCTGTCGATATATATATTATCCTTGTAAATGAGAGGGTATATGTATTGATTAACATTATGTATTATATCATGCGTGGTGTGTATTCTGCGTATGATGACCCTTGGCTCCTTTTAAGCTTTCTCTTGGAATGTGAAACGCATCTTCAGTTTATGCTACTAATTCTTCTATATTCGCGTTGTTTTTCTTCAATCTCTATATTCGTTTGCACTTTTTTTTCATCGAGTTGTAGTAATTAAGACGGCCGTAGTATGATATTATCGATCTTGAGTAATTGAGTTGCGTGTGTCTGGAATGCTGAAGTTGTCATAAACTCAAACGGTTCGATCATTAAGATTGGTATAATTTACTTCACTTCGTTACTGGTTGAACTGATTTGTAACTGAAGCTTTTTCTAGATAGACTGCTTTAATCGCAACAATTTCATTCTTGATACGTGTCTCTCACGTGCTCCCGGATTATCCACATTTATTCGAAATTGAGCTTCATTTAAGTAGGAATGTTTCGAAATAATCGAAACTCGATTAGCTTCGGCAATATATCAAAACGTCAGAACTCTAAGATTCCCTGTTGACTGACGAGCACCCAGTTCTCAACTCGGTCGCGAATCTTCGTTCGATAGCCCACAACTCTTATCGACGCTTTTCTTAAGTTTAATCAGATTTATTTCAGAGTCTAAGTTGACATTACGAGAACACTAGTTACATTACCGATATATTCTGGATCGAATTTATTCAAACTAGAATAGTTCTTCGAGAAAGCCTATTCCCTTTTCCTTCTTCTGCTTCTCTTTTGCTGTTTCGTTTTTTTTACACTCTTCTGAACGTATCTTTTTTTGTCTTCCTCTACGAGGCCTTGGACTCTCATTGATCAACACTTTTAGAATCTGATCAACACCTAGAACCACAATCTGGTTCACCAAGTCCGTTTCCCAGTTCACTTGAAAAAATAGAATACTATTTCGCCAACGTTCGTTCTAGCCTTGAATTTACAACATTCACACACAATAACGTTCAGATATTTTGTAATATTTTATATGGTTACAGCGAAATTTCGCAATTTTCCTTAACCTTGTGTATACGTCCTTTCTTGGTTAGTCACGAGAAAATTGTATGTTCTGTTATTTCATCGGGTGGGTTAAGTTCGATTTCGTTCGAATATACACTTCGGATAGTACTATAGGTAATATCATCAGATGATAAACATGTAACTTTATCTCATGAGGTGCGATCAGCCGTGATCACCCTAAAATCGGATGGAGGCGATGAAACTCAATTGATTAGCAATATTCGGCACTGAACGTGCATAAAACGAATGAAAAAGCTGAAATTCATTCTATTTGGCTAATGTCAGCAGTGATTGAGCTCAAAAGAAATTTCAAACCTGGTGTACAATGGATTGGCAATATTTCAGCACTCACCAATCGCAAGACATACGAAAACGATGACTTTCAATAGATTATCAGTGATCACTAACAATCCAGCTCAAAACAGACTAAATCGGTGATATTTATGCGATTTAGCAAAAGAAACCACGGATTGAATTCAAAGCAGGTGACAAACATGTAACTGATTTCATTAGGTGCGATCAGCAGGCGTTCGCGTTAATAATCAGTTGAGTGCGTTGAAAATCAATTGATTAACAATATGCAGCAAAAGACTTCCGTTTACAAAGGCTTCCCCCGTACTGTAATCCATGAAATTTCGTATTAATCTCTTTCTCTATCCAGAATGACTATAGTTGTTGATTCCTTCCTTGATGGACGTAGTTTACTATGTCTTCACCGGGCCTCTGGAAGATCACTCCTAGATTATTTCTGCAATCGTTCGTTGGTTTTACAAGGTTGAACGTATCTTTTAACTTGCTTCTAAGTCAAATGATTCTGAAACTTCCGATGGATGTGTTAAAGAGAATATAATTCCACATATACACTCATCCTGTGGAAAGCCCTGCGTGTGTTTCGATTTTCAGTAGGTTGACGATATGCACGAATCGAGCAGTTTTTCGGTAGATTGACGATATGCATGAACCGTGTAAATCACTTCACCTCCAGGCAATTTTCTTCACTTTACCAGCTTCGTGCTTGAGAGAATTTCTATATACATCTATAGTTCAGCAAACTAATTATAGAGATTCTCCTTCTGGTAATTTGTTCACGAACACTTCAAGCAGTTATGATTTAATTCATAAAAAAAAACTGAAGGTCATACGTTTCACCTGTTTGGAAAAATCTTAGAAGGATCCAATATACTGAACTATAAAATACAGTACGAAAAATAATATTTCGATAAATATCAATCAATACAGATGCCCTCTAAGTTTATAAGGAATCCGTTAAAAACAATACTGTCGCTATTAAACCATCAGTTTCTCCGTATAACTCACCACTTACGTGTCCACCAGATTACAATGACTTCTGAAGACGAACAACGAACGACGTTCTTTACAGCAAACAAGTATTAACAAAATGTAAAAGTATGCCGTTTGAATGCTCCTGCTACCGTTTACATCAGGCCTACAACGCGGTCCCACAAGATCGTAAAATTTTACTTTATTATGTGACTTTTAGCGATATTTTTCACAACTCGATTGCGCTCTAATAAAAAACATAAGAAATAAAGGAAGTTTTGTTACTTACAGCGGGTCAAACAAGTGTTCATATAGTGCATTAGTTTCACTTACATCTTTACTAGATAAATGAAAGCATATAAATTGCGCTTTAAAATAATATACATCATACGTTATTTATATTAATGCAACACATCTAAATTATTCTGTTTCCACAACATTATAGTCAAAAAAGTATCCATACAGTTACAGGTTTTGTCATTTAATAACGAGATTTCTTTGTTTCTATCAAATAGGTAGTCTTTTGTTATTACTAGCGGTTTAAGTTTAGGTATCCATTAGGTATTATAGTATAAACACGTTGAATTTAAAATGAGTAAAAAGACAAGAGAAACTACAGCGGAGGAGCGAAATTTAATAGTCAAACTACACAAAGAGGGAAATTCTCTTCGAAAAATAGGAAGCATAGTAAGCAAAAGTTTTGCCACTATTCGGTACATTATTAATAAATACAAAGAAACTCAGACCATAGTCAATTCATCACGTTTAGGTAGACCAAAAAAATTATCTGACCGCGATGAGAAGTTAGTACTGCGAATAATAAAACAGGATCCGTTTACTACTTCCACAGAAATAGCACAAGATTTGCAAGAAATGTCAAATATAGCTATTCATCCCGAAACAGTAAGAATTAGATTGAGAAAACATGGATACCACGCACGTGTTGCAAGAAAGAAGCCTTTCGTTAGTGCGAAAAATCGGCAACAACGATTGAACTTCGCAAAAAAGTACGTCTCGCCCAGTCGAGCCAAGTGACTGCGTAGTCTCTGCACGTCGGTCCGTCCGACAGTAGATTCAGTGAACAACCGAGCTCCTGCTCGAGTCCAGAACACAGAGTCTAAAACCGACGTTCAGACTCTGTTCCGTATCAACTCATTCCTTGCATACTACACCTAAGTATTAGCCTTAATTACTTGTAATCAAGTTCTTTATAATATATATATATACATATACAGGGTGCGCCATCTTTTATGTCGGTATGTAAACATTGAATAACTTTAACATTTATCAACCGATTGACTTGAATAAACATGTTTTTGAAACGTCAATTCAGTACAATTTTAACCATGAATCGTTTCACACCGAAACAACGCGCCGAAATAGTGACGCTGTACATTGAAAATAGTCGTTCAGTTGTGTTAACTCAACGTGCATATCGTCGAAAATATCGTGGCCAAGAACCACCGTCTGACAACACTATTCGTCGTTTGGTGTCGAATTTTGTTGAGCACGGGACAGTGGGAGATCGTCGACATGCCGTTCATCAACGCCCAAGACGTTCCAATGAACTGGTTGATGCGGTAAGAGAGAGTGTTGCCGAGAACCCATATGTGTCGTATCGTCACCGCGCTCAGTATTTTGGCGTCAGTGGAACCACCTTGAGACGCATTTTGAAGGATGATTAGCATTTATTTCCGTATAAAGTGCAATTGACTCAAAGAATATTGCCGACAGACCGTCCACGTCGCTTGGAATACGGCCAAACAGTCGCTCGAATGGTTGACGCTGAACCTGATTTTTGGAAGCAAATTTTGATGACTGACGAGGCCCATTTCACACTCTCTGGCGCCGTTAACAAGCAAAATTGCCGCATTTGGGGAACGGAGAATCCACACGAGATCCATGAAACACCATTGCATGGCCAAAAAGTGACTGCTTGGGCCGGCGTTTGCGCCAAAACCATCATTGGGCCATTTTTCTTCAGAGAAGGCGAAACAGTCGATGAGAATCGATATCGGTGGATGTTGGCTCATTATGTGTGCCCACAAATGTGTGAAAAAGGTCTGGACGGTTACTGGTTTCAACAAGACGGTGCGCCATGCCACACTGCAAATCAAACAATGCAGTTTCTGCAACGAAAATTCCCTGGACGTGTGGTGTCAAAAAATGGCGACATTGACTGGCCACCCAGATCTCCAGATTTGACCCCTCCGGACTTCTTTTTGTGGGGTTATTTGAAAAGCAAAGTGTACGCCAGCAAGCCTCAGACCATTGACGAGCTCAAGGCAAACATTCGTGCCGAAATCATCGCTATTCCGCCCGAGATGCTCGAAAAAGTGATGGAAAACGCAGCAAAAAGGGCACATTTTGCTTTGGACAATAAAGGCGGCCACTTGATTGATGTTGTATTCAAAAACTAGTCCAAATAAATTGTAAAGGACCAAATTAAATAAAAATACCTCATATATGGAAATCGGTTGTTTTTTTTTAAAGTTATTCAATAATCACATACCGACATAAAAGATGGCGCACCCTGTATAGATATACTCGCATATAGTATAGTATAGTATACTTCTTCGGTACCTATCCCAACTCAAGAGCTCATCACGATATCTCCCATATAATATTACGGAGGTGCAGACATAGCTGCACGGTCTAATTATTAAGGAGATATCCAGTATAATAGACAACACGGCGGAGCGGACATAGCCGCACGGTTTTGTCATTACACGCCGAGCACTCACGAGTTCATGCTTAGAACGCGACGCGCCGGTCGTAAATATCAACTTCGGAAGTTAATCCGTGAATACCACCGTCCGGCATCCAACGGACGTTTACCACTCGGGATCGAATCTCCACGATCCCTCGACAAGGGAGAAGTCACCAATAACATTCGCTGGAAACTGATAGCCATCGACGAGCCAAGTACCAGCGCACCAAGGCTGACGTCGGCATCGCCTCACGCAAAAACAGATAAGTAGACACAGAATTCCCGAGCAGACGCAGACGTTACTTGCTGCGTGGCCAAAAGGATTGATATCGTCGTAAAACCGTATCGCAGAGTAGAGTTACCACACGTGGAAGCTGACCTCGTTATCGGTGACGTAACAAATTGGTGACAACGGTGGGATACATTCAATCCCTGTGCCGTTATCTTATCTGCTTCCGGCGAGATTACAGCCGGCGAGCGAACGCCCGCCTTATCTTATCTGACCACATTCCAGAGCGCCACGCGCAACGTCTTTCCCGCGCGCGCCGTCTCCCCCACGCGCGCCGTCTCCCCCACGCGCATCGCGTACCCCCACTTCATTCGCCTCAGTACAAGCGCGGAGCGTAACGCTCAGTCTACCAGAAACCGCGCTTCAATACAGAGTTCTCCCAAGACTCTCCGGTACTTCGACTAGCACGCATTAGACTCCGAAAAGGAAAGTGACACTTGCATAGGTGGCACGCGTTGACTTGGTATTTGAACGTAAGCGCTTTTAACCAAGCGTTGTACAGGCATTCAATTACATGCGCAGTAATCCTTGCGTAATGGAAAGCGATTGTCATGGCGTGAAAAGGGTGAGTAACAGCGTTTAAGCAAACACCATATTGCACCGTCGCTAACTCTACGGATCTTTTAGAAGTGCAAAAGGCGAAGTCGTCGCGGCGGGAAAAAGGTTCAAGAAAGGAGACGGAAGGCAGTCACCAGGGAACTCGAGGCTGCAAGAGCGCATAATTCTGCGTCCAACCCAGCCCCGGTTCACGTGGATAAACCAACCGCTCCGGAACCGGAAATTATCGACATTAGCGATTCCGACACCGAAACGGTCATCGTCCCGCGACCACGTACACCCATCGAGGTCATAGACACGCGAACCGCGCTCAGTGTTTTTGATCACGTGAAAATACCGAACGACATATTAGGTTAAGTAAAAAGTTCTGAGCGTTTTTCGCTAGATGTCTTTAGTGAGCCATATCTCACGACGTACACATCGCATCGAGTCATAGTATACGGCGATTTCAAGGTGATATTACGCATCAAAAAAGTTCTTTGTCAGTTTTGTGTTCGGTGAAGCCAGTTGTGTGTTATAGCGTTCGAAAATGGAGGTAAAAAAAGAGAAAATTCGATACATTCTTCAGTACCACTACGACCAAGGTGAAAAGGCGGAGCAGGTGGCCAAAAAAGTTTGTGCTGTTTATGGACCCAATACAGTATCGAATGCAACAGCAAAGCGGTGGTTCCAACGATTCCGTTCTGGTAATATGGACGTCGAAGATGAGGCACGCTCTGGTAGGCCAATCGTCGAAAATGTGGATAAAATCATGGAAATCGTCGAGTCGGACCGGCACTTATTCCATTGCCCAGGAACTGAAGATTAGCCAGAAAACCGTTTGGAACCATTTGCATAAGGCTGGTCTCAAGAAGAAGCTCGATGTATGGGTGCCACATGAATTGACGCAAAAGAACCTTTTGGACCGAATTGATGCCTGCGATTCTTTGTTGAAACGTAACGAAATCGACCCATTTTTGAAGCAGATGGTGACTGACGATGAAAAATGGGTCACATATGAGAACAACAGCCGAAAAAGATCGTGGTCCAATCGCGGTGGGCCGGCCCAAACGATCGCCAAGCCTGGATTAACGGCCAAGAAGGTTTTTTTGTGTGTTTGGTGGGATTGGAAGGGAATCATCCACTATGAGCTGCTCCCATCGGGCCAAACACTCAATTCGGACCTCTATTGTCAACAACTGACCAGACTGAAGCAGGCGATCGACCAGAAGCGGCCAGAATTGGCCAATAGGAAGGGTGTTGTGTTCCATCAAGCAACGCCAGGCCGCACACATCTTTAACACGTTGCGTACCAAGCGTGATTACGTTTTGTTTCCTACCGGCCCAAGTTTTTATCTCGGCGCACTAGAACGATAGCGGAGAGATATGCGGGAAAACCAACAATGTAACTCGAGTAGATCCATGCATTGTCGATTATCTACATTTACAGTGCTATCGACCTATGTAATTGATACATTGTTTTGTTCCGAAATAATCTTATTGGTAAGTAGCTTATTTTGGATTTGGAAACGTTTATCGCATTCCCTGGAAAGCGATAAGCGTTTCGGTTAGAGCAGCGTGGTCCAAGCGTAGCGCAACGCGCTCGAGCCCTTCCCCCACTCGATCTACTCCGTTCCGCAGAACGTTGTCTTTCTATAGTTTACGCGACAATGTAGTCAAAAGAATCACATATACATCTTTCATGTATAGATTATTCAGTTGAAAAGCATACTTTTTCTGAAACGCACATCAGTAATTTTTTATCCCAAAAATGTTCATTGGACGGCGTGAAAGTACAATTGAAAGTGAGAGTAGTGATGAAAACGTTGTGAGTTTTAGAAGAAAAGTTAGAAATAGAATTTCGTCGAGTTCAAGCTCGGATACTGATGAATCATATGCAAGTGAAGATATTGAAGAATTACTAGAAGAACTGGCTTTAGACGAAGAAGAGAAATTGAACACAGCTGATAATTCATTGGAAAATATAAGGCAACAATCATTTCCGTTCACTGGAAAAAGTGGGCTTTTGTTGGATTTGCCGTCTGGCATTAGCCCCGGTGAAGTTCTTTCGCTATTCTTGAATGAAACAGTAATAAGTCTTTTAGTCACAGAAACTAATAGATATGCAGAGCAGAAATTACTTGAACATAAAACGACTGGTCACGCTGGACAAAATAAATGGAATCTCACCACTTCCGAAGAAATTAAAAAATTTATTGGATTGATGATTTGGATGGGTCTAGTACAAACACCGCTAAAGAAATGTTGGTCAACGGATCCTGTATACAATTTTTCATTGCCGCGCAGCACAATGTCCCGCAATCGATTTGAAGAACTGCTATCAAACTTGCATTTTGCTAACAATGAAACGATAGTACAAAATAACAAACTTGGAAAAGTTTTACCACTTGTAGACATATTGATGGTTAATTATCAGAAGGTTTTTTCACCAGGCAAAGACATTGTTGTCGACGAGACAATGGTTCCGTGGAGGGGACGACTAGTATTTCGGCAGTATATTCCAACAAAGTCACATAAGTACGGTGTAAAACTGTTCAAACTATGCTCCACCGAAGGATACACATGGTCTTCAAAAATATATTCTGGACGAGATACCAGCGGAAAAAGAAAAGTTGGCATAGCAGAGAGTGTCTGCACTGAACTTGCAGACAAATTATTGAACGAAGGACGTACTTTATTTGTTGATAATTTTTACACTAGTTATGAATTAGCACTTAAATTTTTAAATTCTAAGACGCATGTGGTTGGAACGGTACGGCGCAATAAAAAAAAAAAACCAAGTTGTGTAATGTATCCGTTGAAAAGAGGGGAAATGGTGGCACGAGAAGATCCAAATGGTATTGTAGTACTATTCGATACATTCTTCAGTACCACTACGACCAAGGTGAAAAGGCGGAGCAGGTGGCCAAAAAAGTTTGTGCTGTTTATGGACCCAATACAGTATCGAATGCAACAGCAAAGCGGTGGTTCCAACGATTCCGTTCTGGTAATATGGATGTTGAAGATGAGGCACGCTCTGGTAGGCCAATCGTCGAAAATGTGGATAAAATCATGGAAATCGTCGAGTCGGACCGAAAAGCGTCACCCATATATGGGTGACGCGGGCCCCACGGAAGCATGCCCGTCACCCAAGTACGGGTGACGCGGTACGCAACGTGTTAACACGTTGAATGCCACGCCAATTTTACGCAAAAGAACCTTTTGGACCGAATTGATGCCTGCGATTCTTTGTTGAAACGTAACGAAATCGACCCATTTTTGAAGCAGATGGTGACTGACGATGAAAAATGGGTCACATATGAGAACAACAGCCGAAAAAGATCGTGGTCCAATCGCGGTGGGCCGGCCCAAACGATCGCCAAGCCTGGATTAACGGCCAAGAAGGTTTTTTTGTGTGTTTGGTGGGATTGGAAGGGAATCATCCACTATGAGCTGCTCCCATCGGGCCAAACACTCAATTCGGACCTCTATTGTCAACAACTGACCAGACTGAAGCAGGCGATCGACCAGAAGCGGCCAGAATTGGCCAATAGGAAGGGTGTTGTGTTCCATCAAGCAACGCCAGGCCGCACACATCTTTAACACGTTGCGTACCAAGCGTGATTACGTTTTGTTTCCTACCGGCCCAAGTTTTTATCTCGGCGCACTAGAACGATAGCGGAGAGATATGCGGGTAAACCAACAATGTAACTCGAGTAGATCCATGCATTGTCGATTATCTACATTTACAGTGCTATCGACCTATGTAATTGATACATTGTTTTGTTCCGAAATAATCTTATTGGTAAGTAGCTTATTTTGGATTTGGAAACGTTTATCGCATTCCCTGGAAAGCGATAAGCGTTTCGGTTAGAGCAGCGTGGTCCAAGCGTAGCGCGACGCGCTCGAGCCCTTCCCCCACTCGATCTACTCCGTTCCGCAGAACGTTGTCTTTCTATAGTTTACGCGACAATGTAGTCAAAAGAATCACATATACATCTTTCATGTATAGATTATTCAGTTGAAAAGCATACTTTTTCTGAAACGCACATCAGTAATTTTTTATCCCAAAAATGTTCATTGGACGGCGTGAAAGTACAATTGAAAGTGAGAGTAGTGATGAAAACGTTGTGAGTTTTAGAAGAAAAGTTAGAAATAGAATTTCGTCGAGTTCAAGCTCGGATACTGATGAATCATATGCAAGTGAAGATATTGAAGAATTACTAGAAGAACTGGCTTTAGACGAAGAAGAGAAATTGAACACAGCTGATAATTCATTGGAAAATAT